ACTTTCTCATTTTACGTGCTCAAAAACCATTTCGAATGCTAGATTTTTTAACCCAAAAAATAAAAAATAAAACCAGCTTCCTCACCCTCACAAACGGGTGGACAAGTGGCTAAGACGCTGACTTGCTAGTCTGGAGGTCGGGTGATCGGTCCCTGCATATCGGCCGAGAAAGTTCATCCAGATTTTCCGGCGTGGTTCCCCCTTGTTAGTAATGCAGGACGGAGGCCTGACAAGTACAGCTGTCTAGTCGTTCGGATGGGACGGAAAAGCGAGGTCCCGTTTACACATTGGCTTGCACGTAAAAGATCCCCTGACAGTTTGAAATCGATATAAGAGTGGGCCGTAGTGCGGCTGTCCAGGCAAAATATCCCTCATAGCATACTGTATGGCATATGCCTCTTCATTAGCCCAGTTCGGACCAGAACAGTAGGACGTTAAACCCCATTTCATTTTCATTTCCCTCACGAACGAAGAAAAGGGGAGAGAAAATAATCTATGGTCTTAAACGGTACGTCACGAATATAATCGTTGTTCCCGTTTTGAAAGATCATAAAATTTAATGGCAGGATTTTTTACGGGAACATCCTGGTTTATTAACCAGCAATATTGTAAACATCACACGTAATTGTTCACCAAGAAAATAATAATTGTGTGAAACATATTTAAATATGGATCTATTATTATATATGCATATTACATTCATCCTGTATTTATTTCTAAAATTCTAAACTGTAGTATTAAATTCTAAAATATAGTATTACATTCTAAAATATAGTATTACATTCTAAAATATAGTATAAACTTTTAAATACAAAGAATATATATTTAATGATAGTTTAATTCATTGATCCTTATCATATTTTCTTTATTGACAGATCGAATATATATTCACTAATCTCATGTACTCGCCATCAGCTTCTTTGCCTATACTAAGTCATCATGAAATTAATCCAGATCCTATTTGTAAGACTATTGGTAGAATTTTTGCTCTTTAAATTAATAATAGCATTATATTGTACCTTTAATTATTGGATTCACAAATTCTATAAAATTCAGATCTCGTGCACTCAAATAATTAGTGACGAATTTCGACAAAAAACGAGTTAGAATTTGGTAAACATTTAATTCTAGGTTAATAACAAAATAACACATGTTAAACCTATGGTGTAAGTTTCCACTATCCATATAAGGGTGGTTTTCGACGTAATCTTATAATTAATTACGTCATATTTGACGAATTATATAATTGAAGGTCCAAACCCAAAGCTGTAAGACTATCATAACTCTGAGCATTTAGACAGCCGCTGGATTCCAGAGGGAGAAGATGTAGAGATTTCTAGTCTGGGTGGATTGGGATTGAGAGAATGATTTTATTGTAAATGGGATGTAAAAAACGAACTGTTGCATTGTTATTCCTGGTAAAACAACCGTCTTAACTACTGAGAAGACAAACGTCTTAACTACTTATAGATAAGAAAATGCACAACGTGAAAAGGTAGCCAAAGTGAAAATACTAGACGATCACAAGGCTGTTAAGATGTGTAGTAAGAAAAGAAGGCATGGGTCATACGCCGGGTGTGGCGATCGATTTTTAACGTAGGTCCGCTCTCCATTTCTGACAGACGACCCATGGTGCTACATATTTCCCCAAAAAGAAGATATATTTTCATTTAGCATTTCTGCAAATGGTGTATTGGTGAGAGTATACAAGGAATAGAAAGTACCCCGTATTCCTTGTCTACGATATCACCCTCAGTGGAAGTGGACGTTATATGACTCCAGGAACGAACGAACCCCATAATCCTGTGAATTATACCTTATATATAATAAACAGCAAAAGAAAAAACGCCACTAAGATTTCAAAATCAGAGAGGCACTTTAATCAAATCATTCAAGAAAACGACTTACTAAATGGATCTAAGCAATTTTATTTGAACAGTATGTTGACACATTAGTGATTAACTCATCACAATTCCAAGACATTACGAGGAGGTTTAGAGTCTGTACACAGTCTATACATCAGTATCTGGTGTGTCCACCGCGAGTGTCAATAACAGCAGCGCATCGTCTGTACATGGAGAACACCAGACGATTGATGAACGCCATTAGCACCTGGAACCACACCATCAGAAAAGCCTGGCGCAATCCCTCGGCTGTGTTTGGTCTCGGTACAACGTTATTAAGTCACCTCTGAATTTTATCCCAAAGATGTTCAATCGGGTTTAAGTCCGGACTAAGGGCAGGCCAGTGCATAACGGTGACACCGTTCTGCTGTAGAAAGTCCCGAGTAACTCTGGCGGTGTGGGCACGGGCGTTGTCATGCTGAAAAACGTTGTTTCGATGACGTGTCAAATGTGGTATGACTTGGTTTCTGAGAGCTTGATCGATGTAGCGCACTGCTGTGATGCCGCCTTCTCTCCCTGGATCAAGATTTTGGAACACCACAGGACCCACTCTCTGGTTCAGACCGATTCCGCCCCAAATCATTATGCTTGGACCTCCCCATGAGTCTCGTTCCATGACATATTGGTCAGAATAATGTTAGCCACGTCGGCGCTTTTTTCTGGTCCTGCCACCTGCAGTTGATACGCAATACCGACTCTCATCTGTGAAGAGAACAGTTCTCCATTGCGTGTGTCGCCAGTTCTGGTGTTGTTGGGCCAACTGTAGACGTTCACGTCGATGGCGGGGGGTGAGGATCGGTCCACGGTAAGGTCTCCGGCAATGGATGCTCTCTCTGGTTAGACGTCGGCGCACAGTATCGGTACAGATGGGTCTTCCGTGTGTTCCCACTGTCTCAGATGCCTGTGTGAAGGGATTCTGCACGTGCTGTCGCACAACATGGCGGTCATGTCGCCTTGTGGTAACCCTTGGTCTACCAGTTTGGGGGCGATCATCCGTGGTGTTGGTGGCCCGAAAGCGTTGCTGAAACCTGTAGATGGTCCGAACATTGACCTGGAAGTGATTGGCAACGGCCTGGGCAGTGTGGCCAGCGTCGAGTCTTCCAAGCGCGTGGTTCCTCTGAGTCGTGACATGCTGCTGACGTTGTAGTGTGATTGATTCAACCAGGTATGGGGGCGCGTTTTATGGGGCTGTTCCCGGTGAACAGCACGTGAGCATGAGTTACATGAAAATCATGGAGAACACATTATCATCTGAGAAGTCAGGTTGTGTTTTTGAGAGCATTTCCTGGGTTCAATTCTGTGTTTGGTAAAGGAACCTTATTGCCCAGGTAAAGTTGGAGATGTGGTCACAAATATACAATAAAAACATTGGGCTAGTTTTATACAATGCGTCTATTCAGAGTTACATACCAACCTGACGTTTCTTTTGCTTCTTAGTATAGATGGTATACATTAAGCCTGACCATGAACATATTTTTTTAAACATGAAATGACATATTTGGTATTTTTAGAACGGCGATAAAATGTATATTAACATGATATTAATTTTCATTACCTCAATTGATTTATGCTGCATTTTGTACCACAGTGGTGAAATGAAACTTCTACTTCCTGAACTTATACTTCCAGCTGAAAGTTATGAATTTTTTTACTTCCAAAGAGCTGTATTGTCATCTCACTAAAAGTTTGTAGTCGGTGTATTCCCACTACTTGGGCAAAAAGAAAATTAGGAAAAAATGTGTGGATATTATAATGCTGCGATAACCTGCCAATCGCTAAGATAACTCTAGGACAATATTGGTGTCAGTCACTGTAGTCATTATCACATATGTGATAGAACTGGTATAACATGTTCCAATTATAATTTTAATACCGAGATCATTGCTGATAGATGCGTTATGAAGATTTCAAGAAAGGGAGGTGACGAACGCAAAAGGAAGGCATGAGTTATCCTTTGATATAATTTAATGAAGTGACGAGTGGTAACAGATACACGGGCGAATTTCTGCACACTAATAATTCCGTCGAGGCTGTGAGAAGATATCTGATAATTCAAAAATGTAATTTAATGTCACTAGATAAGGGAAAACGAGAAGAATAGAAATACCCCGTACATGTCCCATTTTTCGTCATTCTATAAAAACATGGTAATGAGCGGCTTTTTCTATTTTTCTCGTTTTCTCTTATCTAGTGATAGTCTATTATTTTTTTTGAATTGTCAGATATCCTCCCAATCTAATTAAAATACAGATCTATACTTCGTTTCGTTTTTTTTTTATACTTTCGATGACCTACAAGAACGGCTTTTGACCTATGACGTCAAACATTGATTAATCAATCAGCATTGACCTTTCTAGTGATATACCCATAGTTCCGTGCATCGCACGCCAAGTCGCCGTAACAGATGATTTCATTGGCTAATCCGTCACGCCGTCCAGAACGCGGGTTATATAACAACTCTTCCAGATCCTAGTGTAGTGCAGACTAATAAAACGAAATTTTGAACGACATGTATAAAACACGAAACGAAATAGGAACTGTCACTGTGGTTTAATCAGATTGATATCCTCCCACATTCTCATATAACAATTTTTGGCCTTCGAAGATCTGAACAGTCGGTCCTAAAAGCCCGAGCAAACATTATCATTTCAAAATCTTCCTTTGTCAACACAGGGATCGATCACGAACAAAGAGCTCCCCAGTTCAATTACTGACAGACATAGTCGCCGAGCCGAGGCTCCAGGCTGCAGGCAATAGGGCCCGACAATTTTAGAATGAATTTATTCGTTTCATCTAAATGTTTCAGTTCTAAATTTGGCAAAACTTGTAGTCTTTACTATCCAGCCACAAAACCGTTTTCCGGAAGTTGAACCCTTATAAAATGTCAACCCGTCCAACATTCAGTACTTTAGTTTAAAATTCTCTTAATAATTTAAATTAAATGAACGACTTCTTTTAAAAGCATTTGATTATAAAATTGATTAAGCGTGCTATCGACCTCTATAAGTATATTGTGATTGGTTGTGGAGGTAATTGATTTAAAGTCTATCCACTATCCCCACTTAATGATCCACAAGAGAGACTTGTGAAACAAGTCTTAAAAGGAAAACAAGAAGCCGTCGTTTTTTAAAGCCTGAAGTGTAAATTAACACATTTTTCACAATGTACTAAATAGATAAGATATAATTGAAATTGGCATTCCGTGTTTCATGTTGGTAAGCCTAAAATTTGCAAAATAATCTCTATTATAAAGTTATAACTACTGTACTTCCATCTTATAATGTTGAATATATAAAACCCAATTCGATTCAAAACAAACGAGTTGCTCCCCCTTGCTTGATTGAATTAGCTGTCTGGTATCAGAAATCTTGAGATAATATCTATAACCTTTTGAATAATCTTCATTTTCAAAATAACTCAGCTAATTACCAGCTCTAGCCAAGATGGTGCTTTTGCACTTTTGCAGTCTCTACGAGTTTTCATGTTCTTGGCCGTCGTGGGCTACTCTTGCCGGACTTGGATTGGACTGGAGACTAAGTAACGTAAAGTTATAATGCCTATATGGATAGTTAGAGAAATGATTCGAGACCACTGGCACTGGTACCGCAAAAATGCAATAGCGTCACCAACTTTTGTGGTGGATGCTTGTCTGTGAGTTTGTTGCACAAGAATGTTTGTCTGGATTTTCCAGTGTTATTTCCTTTCATTCAAATGTCAGTTTTGTAGGTAGGGTCTTCTGTTCTGAAATAGATCAGTGTAGGCCTACATATTGTAAAGTACAAAAGACCAGATCATTTATATGATGGTTCATAATAATGTTCATTATCAATATCATCCTGCTATTGAAATTGAATTTTGGAGGGGTTTGATCAACTAATCCAGTGGCTTTTCAAATATACCCCACTATCCTCATCACCTATAATGATTAATTCTAATGCAAGCTATGTGTACTGGTTCCAACTCACATTGTACATTGTATGTATGTATGTGACAAGAGTATGGTCGCCTGGTTAATTTAGTGGGTTTTCTCTCACCTACTGTGTAAAGTTATTGTAAATAAAGAATTACCATGATAGTATTGTCCCAAAATGACCAGAGATAGTCTGATCACCACTGACTGCAGTTCACAATTTCACCTGTATAGTGCTACAAATCTACAAGTCTGACTATAAGTCAGTCTGTATTTAATAATTTGTGGCACTAATAAAAAAAATATAATAAGTTAGATCGTCTGCAAACTTTTAGAATGTTATTTCACAGCACAATTCACATTCCATTGAAAATCGATAGTGTTAAGAAAATCATGAAAGATATGCTTAGGCCTACTTTGTTTTTTTTTTGTTTTGTTTTGTTTTTTTAAAATATTAGTGAGGTTCCGCAGTCAGTACGAACTACGAAGTGTTTTTGTGTTGACGTCATCACTCCGTGTTCTGTCATTGACATAAGTGGCGTTTGGTTCGGCCATTTTCTACAAAGAAATCGGGAAATGTTTGTAGTTAAAAAACGAGGTATGAAATCGTTATTTTGTCGCTGATTTGCGGATTAAATTCGTATTTTTGCAGTTTTATAGAAAGCTTGAACATTTACAATTCAGTAGAAGGTTGATCAGCGTCAAAGTGGTTGCAATTGTTCTGATTTTGGGCTGTGAAATTTTTTTTTTTTTTCGACAGGTTGCGACAAGATCGAATCATCTCGAATTAGATAAAAACACATTGCATTAAGCTTCTGGAGGACTAAAATTTGATTTGATTTGATTTTTTTTTTAAAACCAAACTAACAGTGTTATTCCTTGTTTCAGGTGAACAACCAAACACAATTGATGCTGAGGACAACATTGTATTTCGCATTTTGACAGAAACGGAAATCTGTCAAAAACGAAGTACGAAGCGCCGTGTTCGTAGTTCTTACCGGTTATGAAACCTCTCTAATATTAGTTTGGCATGATATATGATTGTTATTGATATTTGTTTTGCAGTTTGTATGGTACATTATCTTAACATGACATCATAATATAAGTTTTCTTTTCAGTCCGTTGAAATGAACGAAATCGACAATACATCTAGAACTGTCTCAGAGGACTCTGTGATTCCTAGAAAGGTTAGATTTATTAAAAACTAATGATAAAATTAGAAAAGTATGCAAGAAAAAAAAGTATACATGTACATGTAAGCTTACATGTAAACTAACTTTTAAAATTAATCATGCATGAATGATTTCCAAAATATACTGAGAGTGAGAGTAGTGATAGACACAATGAAAACAGACCACAGAATTGACTGGTGATACATAGTGCAAGCGAGACATAATGTGTTGTATTCCAGGTCGATCCTTCATGGATCCATTTGATGGAAACAATTAGCCAGTCTTAGGATGGTAGTGTGATGGTATCTGATCCTTCGGGATACTATGGTACTCATGCCTCTTGAATTGATGCGTTCTCTGTGTTCAGTTGTCAACCTTGGCATACATGTATTTTGGTCTTCCACAGAACTGTAGTAGTAGTAGTTGTACTGACCCAAACTTTTTAAAGCGATAATTTCATATTTTTAAATTATATATTTAAAATATATTAAAATAAAGCCTTTAAAATAAAATAGATGGTATCTTTAAACAGTCCTACCTTGTTAAAGAATAACCATATTAATCCTATATATGCCAGTTGAGAAATTGGCAAGAATATAATTTTCAACTTCAAATTCAAACATTTGAAGATATCTATTTCATTGGGGTGGGGGGGGGGAAAGAAAAACAAGGGAGGTAATTGTGTTATTATTTCTGGGGTGAATAATTTTTAAGTGTGAGAATGATACCTATGATCGTATATAGTGAGTTGACAACCTATTGAACAAAAGACATAGAAATAATTATGTTTTGACTTTCTTAGGAAATATGAAATTCTCGCTTTAAATAAAAGCCACACTTAACGATGTCTGCACCTTAAGATCATGACTTTCAACATTCCCATTCTGTTCAATTCAATTTTTGCATTTACATGTAATAGAATTGATCTGTGGTAGGTGAACACGATCGTGAAAACATTATTCTCACTTGATAGTGGAATCAACGTGATCTGATGTGGTAACACTCAAAATTGCAAAATTAAATCTCAAACAAAAGAGATTTACATTCATCTATTTATAATATGCTGAGTTTTCATTGCCTCTCAGTATATTATGTACCAGTGTCCATAGCCTCCATACCCCTGCCCAAATTCTTGACAGCAATGAGCTTTTTTATTCATTTTGACCGTTTTAATTGAATCTTTTATATTTCCCGCTGTTGAAAATTTTGAAAATGCATAATATTAATGCTATATAGAATTTGTTTCAGGAGTTTGATTTTCAAAAGGAAATAATAAAAAGAGATGAGATAATAGCAAGATTAAGTTCTCGACTAAAGGAGTCTTTCTCCCAAAATGAAAGCCATGTTCTCATGCAGTTTGAACAAGTTGAACTTTTAAAACAAGAAATAGAAAAACTTCAGGTGGAATTAAGTCAGGTAATTTATTACATTATTATTTTTATTGTTGAGAAGAGCAATGAAGGATTCCATCTTAATAAAAGAGGTTAACTATTTATTCATTTATAGTGGACTGCAATTATAATGAAATTATCTAGTCATTGACTCCCCTTCTCGTGGGTTTATTATTAGGCCAAGCAAATGTATGCATCTTGTCAAGTGTTTCTATTCTCGATTCAAGATATTGCTGTAGACAGTTACATTCAGCTCCCTTTCTTACTATAAAACTTTATTTCCTTTCTTTTGGAATCTTTTACAGGCAGATGAAAAACTGAAAGCACAAGAGACTCATCATTTGGGTTCTGTTCAGGCTATTGAAAACGTGAAAGGAGAAGTTTATAGTCTTCAAAACTGTTTACAAAATGTGACTATCCTTGATCCTAACTCACGCCCCAATACTCTTCCAAACCCTTCCAGTGAAACCCATCAGTGTAACTCAATTTCAAGTTCGAATCCTAACTGTGTTGAAAACAGGACTGAGGATCTTGCATACAATTTAAGAGAGCTGCAACAAAAATTGGAAGATCTAGAAGAGAAGAGACTAAAGGATTTACGTATGCAAGAAGCCGAACTGATGGTTAAATATGAAGAAGAATTGGCCCAGCACAAAAGGGATCTTGAAGTAAGATTCATCCAAAAGTCTGAAGCAGAGAATGCCAGAAAGCAGAGAGAGTTCATCAAAGCTTTCCAGAAGATGAAGAAAAATATGAAGAAAACCACTAATCACAAAAATGATGAGAATAATTTGGCAAAAGAGAATGAAAAATTACCAGAGAAAAGAGAGAGTGATATTGTACAAAAGCTTGCGCTTGAAAATCAGGTGGGTACTTAGGAATATTTTTTTTTTATTTTTGCATAGAAACTAAATTTAGAGACTTACTAGGTTTTATTGGGGCGTTTTTCCAATCAAGGGAGACAACTTCAAAATGCTCATTTGCTTTCATATTGTACATTGTAGGAACTAGCAGAAGTACGAGATATTTTATTACAACAAGTAGATATTTCACTAGAGAATCAGGACATGTTGAAAAAAGAATTAGATACATATTTATGTCAGGATCAAACTACCTCTTTAGATGATGATATTTTCATGGATGAAATAGAAAGAATTTCCCAGATACAGACTGATGGTGCTATGATGGAATGGGAAATTCTTTCTCCCTCGGGTGTAGTAAGCCATGAAAATACTCAAACATCGTTGGGATTTTTTGAAGATACAATAGATGAAAGGCTGCTTATGTCAGAATTGGTCACAAATACTGGAACTGTTTCTCAGTGCCAAAATATAGATTGTATAAACATGAGAAATCGACTGCAGGAACTGTTAAAAACAAATGTTTCCCAAAATTCTCTTTCAAATGGCGTATTTTGTGATGATGGAGATGATCCACCCAAAGAGAGAAATGAAAATATGGCCGACAACTTAAGTGAAAGTGGTTCTCATTATTGTTTGTCAGATGAATTTGCATCTAGTGATCTTATTCCACATTTAAAACAATTTAAACAAATTAAAGCTGAACTTGAACAGAAAATCGAACACCAATTTCACGTGTTTGCTGAGGAAAAAAACAATTTTTCGAAAATCTGTGATTCTTTGAAAATTCAAGTTGAAAACTTACTCTTAGCAAAGAGCCAACTTGAGGAAGAACTTGAAGGTAAAAATGCTACTCTGTTGACTTTAAGTGAGGAATTTCAAAACACATTAGAAAAGTTTGAATTAAGTAAAGATGATTTACATGAGCATTTACATTTATTACAAACTGAACAGACAGACATTTCTGTGAATAATAAAACACCAGAACATCGCTCCACCAAAACAGCTGATGCTGGTAGTTTTGTACGTGAAGAAGATTTTACATCTATGGATATGATATTAGAGGTATGTATATATATACTGTATATATATGAATCTACATGAAAAATTTGGACAAAAATACATTTCATCCTGTAAACTAGTGTGGAATACATAGAATTAATAAGCTGTGAAGTTTTCATGGCTACTAGATTAGCTGACATAGTGAAAATAATTATGAGTAGAAAAAGTTTAATGTTTGATACTATTGAACTAAGTCACTAACCAGTCGAGAGTAAAGGCAAGGCAATCTCTGACTGAGTCAGAATCTCAATCCAGAGGTTAAGATTTTGTAATTCTACATAAGTGTTATTGGAAGCCAAGATGGCTCAATTTGCATGCCTGGCACATCAGATGCTACTCTAGAACGTTTCTCCGGATTTTTCAATCTGATTCCTTCTTGTCAGTGATGCTGGTCCTACAATGTATAGGACAGGTTTAAAGGGATACATGTAGTACAACAATTATAGTTTACAAGTACAGATTAAAATAAATAAAACCAACTAACTATTTATAATAAAAATATCACCTTGAATTGAATCTGGTTGGGTTTTCTTTTTATATTTATGAAATCTTATATGGATATTTCTTTCTCTTTTAGCCAAATATTGAACCTGGAGATATAGAATTCTGGGATACCAATTTTAATGCGCAGAACTGTAAGTAAACCTTTTCCAAATACATCCTTTTCAAATACACTGTTCACTTGAATGTCACTTTATGTACAGATTTCTTGTCATTATTAGAGTAATCTATAATAGAAATGCCAGACCCTATAATCTGGTAACCATGGTGACCTGTTACTTGATTTCATATTTGTCATTTGTTTCTTGCAATGTCTATATATTCTGTCTTGTCCTCAGGTTAATCAGAAGTAGTTTTTGTTTTGCGTGTAGTGCGGTCGTTCTGCACTTATTGTTAAGATGGTATTAAATGTATGTGTATATTTTCAGTTAAAACACAAGTTATAAATAAACCGTCACAAATATATGAAGTTGATCCTGAATTACAATTACAAGGTTACAGTAAAGAACAGACAATAGAATATATAACAGAATTAGAAGAAAAGGAAAGAATAATAGATGATTTAGTTTTACAAGTTAATAGTCTAGAAAGACAGCTAAAATCTAGTAAACAATTTCTATCAGTAAGTTAGTCAATTTAGATTAAGTTTTGAACATCATTTGTTTCACAACACATAAAAATATAGATACACCAGTACCCTCACAGAATCACAACCAATATATTTGGGATGGATTTCTGTTTTGGTCTGAGAAAAAGCATCAGAAATTTTCAAGCCTGGAGTGATTCCTGCTGAACCAATAGTGCACACAAGCATCCTTTGATAGTTGGGATTCACAGAAGAGCAGACAGAAATGCTGTTATCTGGGCAAACTGTCACATGGCACATGTAATCATGGAAATAAAAATGAAATACCAATCTAATTAAAACACAGATCCTATTTCATTTCGTTTGTTATAGTTCAAAATTTCGTTTTATTTGTCTGTACTACACTAGGATCTGGAAGAATTGTTATATAACCTGTGCTCTGGATGGCGTGAGGGATTAGCCAATGAAACCATCTTTTACTACAACCGGTCAAATCTTCATGTAGTGTAGGCCATCGAAAGTATAAAAAAACAAAAATGAAATATAGATCTGTGTTTTAATCAGATTGACTACATACATGTATTATGTAAGTCTCTGAATTGTATTTACAGTGCATTATGCCCCTATTTCTTCCCTTGGAAATAAAAGCAGTGGTTTCAAGTTTACTTTTGTCTGTTGTAAAGTATATGTTTAATAATGTTGTTATTAACAGGAACAATCAACTGATAGGGAAGTAGAAAGAGATGAAGCTAGTAAAGAGATTAACAGATTAAATAAATTAATAGATGAAAAAGAGAGTCAATTAACATCTAATAAAAACTTGTATCAAGAGGTAAATATTGTACAGTTTATTGTAATCTATTGTCTGTGTTGACTGTATGGTTGAATTTTTGTTTCAAAGGTCTGTCATGTGTAAGCTGTATGGTTTATCCTGTAATTGTATCTGACAAACAGATTGGGGGGTTAGAGCGTGCACAATGCATCATAAGGTCTGTCATTGAATCAAATGTCATGGTTTCGATTCCCCGGTTGTACGTGACAAGTAGTAGGGTCGCCTGTCCGACCTCATGGGTTTTCTTCGGGGGCTCCAGTTTCCTTCCACTGTTAAAAACCCCTCACTGAAATAAATTTAAACCATATGTTAGTCCGGAAATGGCCTAGTTTGTGTCAAGTGGACATACATCATTTCTCTTTCTGACAAACAGTTTCCTCCCAGTGCTGAGGAAATAAGGATATATTTTATGTTACTGACAATGATCATGTTAAACTCAATTTCTGTCTCTCGATCTTTGATAATGTTAACTCGAATTAGTTTATACCTTTCCCCCTGCCCACAAACATCTGTATTCCGTTCACACACACAACTGTAGTGAATGTGATAAAGACAGGATTATTAGTCAAAATGAACTTTAAACCAACATGGCCCAAATATTTGGTTTTCGTCAGTTACTCTGCAGAAGATGCCGAATGTTGTGAAATTTACAATGAATGCATCATATTAAATGTGATTGAAGTTCAATCATTGAACCATTTTTGGACTTCATTGTAGTTTGTGAGGACTTCAAAATCCTTCTTATGATAATCAGAGACTGTAAGAGTAGCAAACTTTATTTGATTAAATTCGTTTTGCAGATTGGAGATATGAAAGATAGAATTGAAAGTTTACAAGAAGATGTAGAAAGTTTAAACAGTGAAAATCAACAACTTAAAACCCAACTGAATACATCAACACAGAGAAATTCAGACCTAGAAAATAATATCAAATTGTTAGAAGATGAACTGAATGAAAAAACATTAGAAGAAGGCAATTTACCACAGGAAGTAGTTAGTCAGGTAACGACCATGATTGGTTATTTAATTGCAATTCCTCACAGTTTTCAACAGCCCTTAGCTTGAATCTTTGTACAGATGTATGTGAATAATAACCAGTACATGTAGTTGTATTTGAAGAAGTGAAAGACAGACCTGAGTAATATGATGGAGATGCACGTACCCTGACGCTCAATAGTCGCCTGTCCAACCTTGTGGATTTTCTCCGGGTCCTCCGGTTTCCTCCCACTGCTAAAGACCCCTACGCGCAAGCAAATTATTGAAATAAAAAAATTAAAAAAACATATGTTAGTCCCGAAATGACCTAGTTTGTGTCGAGTGGACGTTAAACCCCATTTCTCTCTCTCTCTCTCTCTCTCTCTGATGCTCAATACTGATAAAAACATTATATTCTGAATTTTGTGAAAATTAAAGTTGCTGATTTTTTGGAAAATATCAAATTTTTTCACAGTTTAATCCACGCTAAAATGTATTCAAATTGATTATTTAAAGTTTAATTAAGATAGAAAATCTACTGGCTTGGATTCAATCAGATTGAAAAGAAGCTACACTGATAGGTACTGGTGACCAATGAGAGACCTGTCACTCATTGCCTTGTAGGTGACCTATAGAGAATCTTCTACAAGTATTTGATATTAAAAAAAAAACCAAAACGCGTAGGAGATTTTATTGATCACCCAACCTTTTCTTACATGCACAAATAAATAAATAGATGTATAATTCTTTGGTATAGATTTTATTTTATGTAGTCATACTTCATCTTTTGTCAGCAAGTCACCTTTGCAAAGTCCGATATATTGACCCAGTGTTCCTTGTCCAGAAAGACATACTGAAACTTTGTCACCAGAGTGAAAAACATTAATGGTAGTTAACCATGTTGAGATATAAACCAAATAAAAGTAGTTCCTTTTTAATAAAAAAAAATAGTTCCTTTTTAATAAAAAAAAAAATAGTTCCTTTTTAATAAAAAAAATAGTTCATTGAGGAGATATCGCTCAGTAAAATATGAAATTTATCACACAAGTGATATCTAATGTAGAATGTGTTAATGGGTAATAAATATGAAATTTATCACACAAGTGATATCTAATGTAGAATGTGTTAATGGGTAATAAATATTAATTAACCTAAAACAAAGAATATGGGGATGAGCAAGATTACCATAATGTCCAACTTTTTAAGTGGTGATAGTAATGAGGAAATTCTAATAATAACATTCAGTATTATTCAAATCCGGAAAGTAAACCAAATTATAAAATCAATATGTTTATGATAGTAATTTGACCAGGTTTTAATAAGGCAACACAGATAAAATAAGTTGTTTCTCGGGCACAACCTGTACACAAAAATGGTTACTGTGCAGTTTTTTTTATTGGTCTTGCTGAAAAAAAACCCCTATGTAACGCCCGGCGGAACATTGATACACAAGTCATAAAAAAAAATATGCCGCATGTGCCTACATGTGTCATACATGTATATCCATTCAAGTGTATTAAACTGATTCAGATGAAAATATTTATTTACGGGTCTTTATTATCGATATTGAAAGATCCTCCACTTTTGTATCACATGATATTAATTACCTCCCCTGATGAAATAGAAGTTTTCGTCCACATCGAAAATTGTTGACAACAATATTTGAATCATTCAGTCTTAATCGGCTTATTATTCTCGGCTTCAGTTACTGGATGTTTGAAAAAGCCATTTGATAAAACAATGAACCGGCCACTATGGTATCATAAATCAATCTACTTTCGGATAAATTACAATAGGTTAATTATTACTTGTTGATTAAGTAGCCAATCAACTGGCTTTTTGTATGCAATAATAGTCATACCATAGTGAGAATCGGTGATTTGGTTCATAATCCGAGTAACTAGCATATTTAACAGTAATTTTGATAATAATATAAAAAAAACCCCAAAACAAGCTTGCTGAACATACATAACAGGTCCAGTAAGTGGCCTTTGTTAAAATAAGCCACGTGGCAAATGAAGACGACCTCAGGTAGAGGCTTGGCATAAATTGCGAATTGCGCTGTCTCGATTCTCCATAGGAATTTTAGGTAGATATTAAAATAATAATTGGATCATACATTTGATGGTTTCACTGACCAGTTGTTAATTAAATTTAAATAGTCATTAAATATAATCCCCTGAGTGATAGCTGATCACCAAATATCCCAAGAAAAAGTCATTTATTATATATATTTCTGACAATCTCCAATGCCGAATCCAGATGTACAATAAATGAAAGCAAAACCGTAGACAAGTGATAACTTTCTGTAGTGTTCTTATCAAAATACAGAAAAAAAGGACCGCTCAGCAATAGCCCAATTTAATTTTGCACTATCTTCTAATCAGCAGTGAGGTAAAAAAAAAAAAAAAAGCCTCCTTTCCCTCCTACATTTTCAGTTGTCAGGTGCCTGAGAAACAAGATATTTATTTTGTGTAGCCATACAACAATGAGGAAATTTAACTGATATTATTAGTTGATAAAAGAATAAGAACACCAAAGATTGGTCATCTAAAAGATGAAGTAGCAATAAAGCATGAGGAAATTTAAACTTCATTGTTAAATTGTATACAGGGAACAGAACCCTTTTTTTTTTTGGCCTAAACTTAATTGTTAAATTGTATAAAGGTGACAGGACTTGTATTTCATCAATCAGGGCCCTTATTCACTAAGATACAATAAAAATTTTAAGAAATACTGCAATTCGATTGGCTGACCAGTAAAATCAATTTGCATATATCCAATGAAGTTGCAGTATTTCTTAAAATTTCGGTTCTAACTTAGTTTAAGTTCTCGTGAATAAGGGCCCAGGGTTATTGCAATAATACACACATTCCCTAGGGAAATAATGTATGAAGATACCCTTAGAAATAGGGATTTCATATAATTGATGGAAATATATTACGGGTTTCACGAAATTGCTAAAAATATCCTGGTGTCCATGGCGTTGTTCGAAATGTCAGAAATTTTTAGTGATGGCTGACTTTTTTAGTAAGTTGAGTATGAATCTTAATTAGATGTGTTACTGATATGGTTTAAGTTTGAGGCAAGGAGGTAGTTTTTTGTCTAACCTTGTGAGCTTTCTTTTAATTTACTACTCCATTCAACTATAATAAATTATTGAAATAAATAAAATATGATACTAGCCTAGATTGAGTTAAACTTTATTTGTCACTCACGTTCTGTCCACGTTGTGTATGCAGTTGTACAGTTTATGATTCAAATATTTTAGTTGATAACATTACTGTTTTTATATGCCCACATGGAAATGTGATAATTAATAGAATACAATATTGTATTCTATTAATTATTGTACATGTATATTAACTTATCTGAATATCAATTACATCATTTTGACTTAGTCAAAATTGATCCCATCAAACCGTCTTTAATGGGTTTATGTTACCTGTTTCTATTGATTGGAAGTTTCTTACATATGGAAATGTGGTAGTATATGTCCATCTGTCCGTTGTCCACAATTTCTTGTGTCAAACACTCTACAGACTACATTTATTATCTGATCATTTTGAAATTTATATATTATGTTGTTTATCAAAGTGATTCGAAGAAGGCTATTTCTATTACTTTTAGAGTTATGGTCCTTGTTTCACTTTGTAGAACCTTGTGAATACTCTAATGACAAAAGTCATTATCCGATCTGTATTAGATTTACATACGTTGTTTAGATTAGTAAAACGAAGAAGCCTATTTCCATTTATAACTTCTAGAGTTATGGCCCTTGTTGCACTTTGTTGAACCTTGCGAACGCTCTATCGACATAATTTTTCATCCGATCTGTTTGAAGTTTATATGCATTATTAAGATCAGTAAAACAAAGATGCTTATTGAATTTCAGCAATTTCTGTTTATAACTTCTGAAGTTATTGCCCTTGATTCGCATTGTTGAACCTTGTGAACACTCATTCGACAGATGTGATCATCCGATCTGTATGAAATCTATACATTATTTACAATATTAAGATCTGTAAACGGAAAAAGCCTATTAAATTTCATGAATTTCCTTTAATTACTTAAAAAGTTGTGGCCCTTGTTTTAATTTGTTGAACCTAGTGAACGCCCATCCGATCTGTGTGAAATTGTTGCAAATTTTAGATTAGTAAAATGAAATGAAATGAAATGGGGTTTAACGTCCTACTGTTCTGCTCATACTGGGCTAAAGATAATGGGCAAACGCCATAAAGTGTGCTATATTGAATTCCAACTGCCAAGGGATCTTTAATGTGCACACAAATGTGTACATGTTGTCCCTTGTCAGGCCCGAGGTCCAGCACCAGTGATGGAGGAGGAACCACACCGGAAAATCCAGAACTTTCTTGGTCAACGTAGGGATCGAATATGAGACCTCCTCAGTAAAACGAAGAAGCATATTGAATTTCAGGAATTTCCGGTAATTACTTCTAGAGTTATGACCCTTGTTTCACTTTGTTGACTCTTGTGAAAGCTCTAGCGATCAAAGTTATCATCCGATCTGTATGAAATTTATATGCATTATTTATATTAGTAAAATGAAAAAGCCTATTAAATTTCAGCAATTGCCCTTGATTACTTTATGGCACTTGTTTCACTTTATTAAATCTATGAATGAAATTGATATTAGTGTCTAGTAAAAGCTCCCATTACCTACAAAAGAATAGATATGCGACAACCCTTGTCGACTGCTCTGATGTTTTAGCTGCTGTGGGTGTATGTTTCATTGCCTGGCAACTTATTTTTGATTAATTTAAGGAATCACCAACACCCTCATCCAGTGAATCTAATGATTTGGGAATGTTATACAGTGAGTCTGATTCAAATCCTGTTCCCCATAAAAAACAGAAATGTGATTCAGAGAAGTCATATGACACAATTGACACAGAGATTAAAATGAAACTATTGGAAGAAGAAGGTGAATATTTTCTTAATTTCTTTTATTAATTTTCTGGGTTTTTTTGTGCTAGATGACATATTTGATAGGATACTACTTCATTAATGTTTGGTAGAAATTTAAAGAGTCTGTGCAGTTATTGTGTTGAATTTGCTAAATGGGTATTTTTCTACATTAACAATCTTTACATCTGAAGTTCATGGAGGCAATGTTGTAACTTCTTTTTATATTGTTATCACCCCTGTCCGTCCATGTGTCCATTGACATTTTGTTTGTGGACACTCTACAGGTAACAATTTTTTTCCGATTTATATCGGTTCCTTTCAATATTTGCACATATAAAACCATAACTTCCTGGATGATGGACCCTGATTGTTCGAAAATTCACGTTTTTTTATCCGATTTTAAAAACCGTTCATATATATCACTGTTACACTCTAATGACAGTTGAGTTCGACGTTTGTGAAAATCAGGCTGAAACTGCACCTTGTAAGCAAATAGTGTAAGGGTATGTAATACAAAGGTTGTGGACCCTCTAGAGGTCACAATATTTATCCGATTTTGCTAAAACCAAAAATGTATGGTTATATCCCAAAGATTTCTGTTACTTTAGATATTCACACATATTCACACATATTCACACAGATAGTGTTTAAAGTATGTGATACCAAGTAGTAGACCCTCTAGAGGTCACAATTTTTCCTATTGGTCATCGAAATGACAGATCACTGCAGTCCAACACTTTTCAAAATATACCCTCTCTTGAATTGATAATGCCTTTATTTCAGTGATATCCCTGAAATTAAAATTGCGTCAGGAGAAACTTATTGGTGCTGATTTATTAAGAAGTTTGGTAGCTGAACAGAAACGTTATAATATACTGTTAAATAAAGAGAAGGCTGAGTCTGATAGCTGTACAACAGAATTACTGGATCAGTGGGTTCATGTTTCAAAACTACAAAATGCCTTGAAGGAAGAACAGGATTACTGCTCGTCCATCTTGTAAGTTTATTTTATGCACATGTATTGATATATTTGATATCCTGAAAGACAAGTGCTGTTTAGATGGTTACAAGCTGGTAACTGCTCATAGAGTTTTATTCTGTTGTATAAAATTATATTCTTATCTTTCAAATGACAACATGGAAAGATTTGAGCTATTAGAAGAATATTGTTAACAGTAACACTGTCGGAAAATAATGAGAGAGTTATTATAGGCTATGCCTGTTCCTCAATCCCTTTCAATTTCTGAATAAAATATTGTTTAAAAAAAAGGAATAAAAACCCCCCAGTTATTTTGTAATATCTAGTAGGTTTAGTCACCCTTGATTGAGGTGAAAGATATATTTAACCAATCTCTCAGGAATGCTGATAACTGATAGGGAAATGAAGGGACTTGGTGAGGGCGTATTACTTCAGGTTCTATTAAGGTTGTAAACAGGGTACCGAGTGACATACTTCCTAGATATTTATAAACAGTATTTGTTTTATTAATTTCATCGTTTTAAGTGTCTGAGACAATCGGCTGTATATTTTCAATGTTTTATCTAGAGATGTTTTAGAAGAACAACAAGTTAAATTTAATAAGGTTAAGATAAAATTGAAAGAAGAAGAAGAACATAGATTTATTCTAGAACAGAGATTAACAGATGCTAAGATTAACTTAAGACAACAAGTTCCAGTTCAACCTGATACAAGGCAACAAATGGCAAAGGTACAGTAGCAATTTGTTTAGACTACTGTTTAGACATATACCCTAGCATGCAATTTGTTTAAACAGTACTACAGCATGCATACTTGTTTAGACTATATTAATGCATATATATGCTTAGACTATACTGTTACAGCTTGCATGCCTGTTTAGAGGATACTGTTACAGCATGTGTACTTGCTTAGACTACTGTTACAACATGCATACTTGCTTAGACTATATATATACTGTTACAGTATGCATACTTGTTTAGACTATACTATTATTAAAGTATGCATATTTAGAATATACTATTACATCATGTATACTTGTTTAGATGATACCTTTACAGCCAGCATGCATATTTGTTTAGACTATACTGTTACAGCATGCATTCGGCTACTTGTCCAAAATTATTGTTATTCTTCAAATTGCCAACATTGCTATTGTCTGCCCTTAGAATCTTGCAAGATGACATCCCTTGGATTTAAATATCGGTTATGTCAGTACATTCCCGCTTTTAAAGTCCATGTACTAGTACAATAATTTGTCATTTTATATTTATAGATTTGTCCTTTAGGATTGACAGCATTATTTGTTTATAATTTTTATCACATGGGCTGAATGAGGTGTGTAGCTGGCATGCATTTTTGTCTAGTTGTTTAGATGGGATGATAAACAGAAATATCAGGTTTACATCCAATGTAAAAGATCTTCTCTAAGTAAGAATTAGGCGTTCACACTGAATTCTAGCTAAAATTCCTGTTTCTAGGACTAAATCATAGCCAAATTTAAATTACTGTATAACTATTTCAGGTTCAGAGATTATATGCTCGATATCTAAGAGCTGAAAGTTATAGAAAAGCCTTGATATATCAGAAGAAATATTTACTTATATTAATTGGTGGATATCAGGATACAGAACAGGCTACATTAGGAATGATAGCACAGATTGGTGTACCAACAACTTACAGTATTAATAGATACCCATATTATACTCCTTTGTTACATATATTCCGTCGTACTGTCACTGCTGTTATAGCTATATTTAGGTATGTAAAACATATTCTTATGTTACTGATATGTTAGTGTGTTCCTGTGGGTGGATTCACTGTCACTTTATTAAGGTCTTTTCACTGAAATGTTTGAATAATGGGATGAGTGTCTAGATAGTATTTCTGAAGCCATGAAGCCAGAGGTTGAAAATGATAATGATATATAGGATGAAGAGTACAAGATATGAAGTCCATCATACTGTCTTGTCACTGTTCTTTTTAAAATATTGAGCATTTTCAATTTGTTTTAATTTATCTCAATCTTCATGGAAAAATTATTGCATGTATTTATATCCAGAAGAATTATTACACATACTTTGGACTAGCACTCACTCACAGCACTTTGACTTAGCTACTTCTGGCAAGATAAGTAGTGTGAGATTTGCAAACAAGAACATGGTTATAAATGCATTCTTGTCTGGTCAGGGAGAATGGCAGAGTAGTGTCAGCTTTGGACCATGAGTTATGAGTGCCTAACCCAGTGGGTTTACTCTGAGTTTAAATAATTGCAATAAAATTATACCAGATTAAAAGAAATGTTAAGTATTAAAATGATAAATATATGGTATTATAATAGAATGAAGTATATGGTAACTAAATGGAAGAGAGCTGTTAAAGTTGGTTCACCAGTTGTAGGTGGTGCTGCTAGTGTTGGTTATGGTAAGTTTTATTCATATTTAACTAAACACATAGATATACAAATCAGTGAAAAATATATTCAAATTAGTCAAATTGGCAATATGTCTTTGCACCAAATTTTGGGATACACCAACTTGAAGTAACATACTATATATTGATATGTAACTATCTGCCCAACCTCTTAGCTCTGTTATACCTCTAAACCATGAATATTTACCAAAAGTTATTATATATTCAGATAAATTTTATTGTTGATTATGTTATTTGTACATTGCAGGTTATTTAACTAGTCATAGTTCCTGTTCACAAGAATCTTTACGTCTTCTGTAAACTTAATAGATCCTCCACCTTAGTGAATTCCTAATGTATATATTATGTGTTATATTAGCTTATGTCTTATATTTATTATTATTTATTATTTAACAACCACTGGCGGTATTCTCTTGAAGGCTATTCCATTTAAAATTACTTGGAGGAATGTGAAAACCATGTTTTTAAATTGTCTGCTGTTCAAATACTAAAGATGGTGGAGGGGTTTGGAAAATATTTCTACATATTTTGCTTGTAGTCTTTTAAAAAATTTCTAATGGTACTTGTTAAGAGATTGATAAATGTACAGTTATGCTGTATTTGTTACTCCTTAGTTTTCTGGGAAATACAACTAACGAAATGTTAAGTAACATTTGTTACTGCAAAAGTTGACTCAGAAGTCATAATTTCTACTTAAAAAACTCTGGTAGCTAAAATTATGTTGAGTTCTCGACATGTGATGTAATAGGATGGCAGCCCAAATTATGATTGTTTTAAAGGGTTGATTATGGTCTTGGTAATTTAATTAATGTCTAATTAATAATTTATATAACATTTCATATCTAAAAAACGATCTCCAGTAGGCAGATTTAGCTCTTGCATAATGCCTGTTTAAATAATGTAATATAATGTCATAGAGAAGTTGTATTATTGTAAAAACCATCATCATTAGTCAAGATAAAAATTATTTCACAATGACAGCCATGTTGATTTTCCCCAGTTGTGCACCCGAACACAATATATGGTGTTTACTACTTCCTAGTGGGAAACACAATATTTCCAAGTAGTAATAAATACAGCATTATTTTTTAAATGGAATAGTCTTTATATACTAGATATTTGTTAAAGCATATTGGTAGTATATTATAAGAGTGCTGTACACTAGTCCCGGTATTAATTTACAAATATGAATGTATTTTAGAAGTTTTTCTTAATTCTAAACTAGATTGTGTTTGAATTGAAAAATATCTGTTAACATTTTTTTAGAAAAAAAATTTGTTATTTATAGATTTAAATGAATTTTAGATTGATAAAGTGATCACAACTGTCTCAATACTTAGAAATAAAAACAATTAGACGCTTGTTCCTTGCCAGACCTTATTCCCTGCACCACTGACAAGGTGCAACTAGGCTGTAAAATCCCAGGCAACTTTCTCATCCAGCCCTGTGATTTAACCTGTAATCTGGTTAATGAGCTAGCACCATATTCCCTCTTTATACATCAAATGTATCTTGAAGAAAAATGATTTTTATATATATATATTAGACTAATTTGGTGTGTAAGCAATAAATGTAGTTTTCATAAGTTAAATTAGTCCCCCCCTCCTGCTTTTTAAAAATATATTAGATTGATTATATTTAACAAATATATATTTTATCTGATCTATTTAAACAAAATGTCTTCCATGTCAATATATAATTGCTTGTATTGCATTTAATTTCTTCCTGCAAATTATAATTGGCCTAATGTAAACTGTACAGTACATGCATATATCTAGGCTGTCCGATTTTCTTCCATTGGTGAAAGATGATTTATGGTAGATGTTAGTCCCAATATTGCCTAGTAATTAGCTAGGCACCAGTGGTGTTGAGCATTACTAAAATCAAAGTGAACTTCAATGACATTGGAGATGACAAACATCTAATCAAACCTCTTTGAAGAGGGAGAGGAGAACATTTAAAACCAGAGTTGATGGACATTTTATGTTATATTATGTTTTAAAATATGGATTATTACACAGTCATGTGCTGCTTACAACCAAACTTATTCCAATGCTCAACATTAATCTGTTGTGTCTAAGTAAAGCCACTGATTTTCATTTGAGAGATTTTGCAAGCTACAATATCATGAAAGTTGAATTTCTAAAAGGAAGGTCAATCCAAAGGGCATTCAATTCTGTTCATCATTTACAATGATATGATGAATTAAAAATTTCACAACATTTGGCATCCTCTGCAGACCATAAAAACAAGTGAGTGCCACCTATGTAGATGTTATGTAAAATCTTTTGAATGATTTTTTTTTTAATCCAAACGGGGAGATTATCTACCATTATTATTTTGCTTTGATTTTCTTTATAAAATTTTAAATAATCAATTTGAGTTCATTCTAGTTTAGATTAAGCCATGAAAATTAAATACTGTCTGAAAAATGGAAATGACCAACAGTGGCTTTAAAGATTCAATTTTGATAATGTCAGTGGGAATTCACTATTGGTACATGTAGATTAGAAGAATTTTAAGTTTTGGGAATACATGTGAATAAAGGTTCTGAAAAAAATGTTTCAAAAGGCATTTATCTTCTAATTTTAAAACTTACTTTGTTTGAGATATAATATTACTTTTAAAAAGTGATAATTGTTAATCCCTGTGTAATATTCATTCTAGTCATATTTGATATTGATTAACAGCATTTAACAGTATTTATATTAATTACATTAGTAGTTTTAACAAGAAACTGGTTTTTAAGAAGTGATTCTTCATTTAGAAATGTAACATTGCAATAAAACATTAATGATGATAAATTATTATTGATCATTACAATATATTATATCCACTTTTTTATCTTCACAAAATCATGGTATTATTAGCAGATTGTTCCAAAGATCATTAAAATTGATCAAATGTAAGTTATGGTCATCCCTTTAGTTTCCTTTGATTCATGGCATCAGTTATTTACAGAAGAATACATTGCCATCCATTAACATCAACATAGTGTTTTAGTAGTCTATATTACTATGGAAACAACACAATTAAGCTCATATTATCATTAAATTGAAGTTTATATGAAAAAGGTTGGTTAACTTGTCTGTGATTCTAAAGTTAATGTGCTTTGCGTGTTGTTAACAAGATAACCTCCCCTGTAAAACAATGTAAGCTAATGCTGTCATGCACATGTTGTAATACCTTGATATTATCAAGATAAATATTTATCATGATACAATTTAAAAACAGAATTTTGATTTAGCTGATCAAAATTGTGTTCATTTTGGAAGCTGTGACATATAATTGAAATGTCAATAATAAAGCAGTTTTCAGTAATACTAATAGAAAACTTCTCACGTCAAGATTTTTCAAAAAACAGTTCATTATTATAGAATTTGCCCAAGAGATACAGTATTATTACTTTACCACATACAGTGAACTACTGAATTTTAGACATTTCTTATTCTCTTTGTTGATAAAGAGCTCATTTAATTAACAATTAATTTGTGATAATTAGCTATTTTTTGATTAGCATATGAAGAGCCCCGAGGAAGAACGATCTAAGTCACTTTTTCAATGAATCCCAGTTAATGGCGCCATCTGGTAGCAAATTGTATAAGCTTTCTGTAGAACAATCAATTTCAGGTAAAATCGACCGGAGTCACATCGAACCAAGGCCCTTCTGCAATGGCCTCCCGGACAAATACAAGTCCATCGTATTTATTTGACCGTAATTTGTCTGAAAAGTGGAAGTCAGTTGTTGTACTGGTAATTATGATTCGTATTAACATCATTTTGAAGTTGTAATTAAACCCACTCGTTGTTCTGTTGCGTCAAACATTATCGTCCAAAAGTCTGTTTTGCCTTTTATGCGAAAAGACAAAAATGTTACTTAGATCGTTCTGTCCCCTGGACTCTTCATGTGAAATCACAAATATATTAAAGAACACAATCTAGTGCTTAATAATATCTTGAGGTGTTGTCCAAGGTTGTCTTAATACAATTTTTATCAGTAGAAGAGTTCAGAAAAAATAAATTTTGTGTTGAAGATTTATGGATCATTAATGAAGAATTAATCTAGTCATTAAAGCGTGCAGCATGTTATGTAGTTAATATTTCTAATCAAGGGAAAACTAATCGATCACTAAAACTCTGTTAGAAGAACCCTATTGAAATTCAATCTTTTGCATTATTGATCTTGTCTTCGAATCCATCCATGTTTCGGAAATTATTTTTTTTTAAAAAAACACACCGAATTGTTCAAATAGTAAAAGAAATGGCCCTATAGAAATTAAAGCTTAACTTATTTTTCACAAAGTCATTGCCCTTTTCATTGTAACCTAGTCAACACTCGTGAAGATCAGTGTGTTAGGGTTGTTGCTTCTGTGACTTTCTTTGTATTACAGAAATGTTTTTGGTGACCAAAATTTTAATGAATAAACCATATTAAATTGTAGATGCGTGTAGTAGCTTGGTCAAGGTAGCGTTTGATAAATGTATAGAAAATCGTTTTGATATGGTAGATTAGTTTTAACAAAGCATCTGGGTGAATGGTTGAATTATTAATGTTATTGATAAAACGGTGCTAGGACTGTTTGGTCCTTTCGTGTAAATGCCAGGAACTCAAATAGGTTCCAAGTTACACATTGAGATTACACTGGCATTGCAGTAATAAAGTTAAGTTTTTTGATGATATTCGTTTCTTTTTTCTTTTTTTTTCTTGTTGTTTCTTTTTACATCTATGTACGTTGTCTATCAATGTAGTATCAAACACCAAGCCAGACACTGGTCTGTATCGGGGTGATAACCTATAGATTTCATATAGTTTTGGATTTGATATGCTACTATAACGCATAGACTATTGATATTGCCCAAGACAATCAGGTCAATTGCCATCGTGCTTGGGGGTTCTGTCAGTATAGCAAATTAGATGTATATAGGTTTCCAAGACTAGATCCACACTGATCGGCAGTGAATTTTCGCTAGGCCGCTACAATCACTGATTAGGATGACATCTATCGGACGTAATGAGCCAGAAATATTAACTTTTTTCCTGCGACAAATTAAATTCTAAAACATTTTTTTTTATGTATTTGAAAAATAAATAAAGGCGTTTGACGTATTTGTAGGTAGAAATTATTTCCTATTTAGTGCAAATGGGTATTAAAATGAGTAAAAGTCTCCATTCTGCCCGAACTAGAACGTCTTATGTCCGTAAGAAGAGTTTGGCTTACGCAGGATGTAAGAGTGTCTAAACATATAATTGGTGTTTCGGTGTTGTAGTTATATGATTGTGGAACTAATAAATCCGTAGATATAAGGATATCATTCATCGGCGATTCGAAACATGACCATTAGTTGACATAGACATGCACAGAGATCATAAAATGAAGAAGTATAATTCATGAGCGTAGTATATTTCCATGAATAATATAATTAATGATCAAAAGATATTATCACATCCAAGGTTTTAGAAAACTATTGTACATTCACTGGATTATTGATATTATTTTTCGGATCGAATATGATAACAACGAATTCTTGAATAGAACAGTTGAACTGTTGGGATTTGGTTTTATGTTCTTGATACAGACAGAAGGGGTAGCAGTGGCGGATTAAGCTCCAACAAGGCCTGAGGTGGCAGTTGCTGGAGGGCCTATTTAGTTTTTAAATAGGGCCTATTTAAAATGGCGTGGGCCTAATTAATTTCGGGTCAGGGCCTATGTTGATTCCCGTTGGGCCTAAACCCCACCCCCTAACATTCATTGTCTATGCGTTTTTTATCGTATCAGACAAGTCTAAAAAATTTTTTTTTTACAAAATCTTTGGGCATGAGGCTGCAGCCTCATCAGCCTCAATGATAATCCGCTACTGAGGGGTAGCACTAGATTAGATGAGATTTTTTGCTAATCAGTCATTTTATTCAGAGGAACTATTATTTTGTAGAGAATTTAAAAAAAATTAACACCAATTTAGTTAATATTCAACATTCCACGTTTAATACCATATGGCCTTATATGATATATAAAATACTCCATTTCTTGCATTGCCATAGGGTCCACATAGTGAAATGTTATAGCATAGTGGCTTAATGACTCCATACCCTGAAGATATATAAAAAAAAAAATTATATGAAACAGTCATTAGTCACATGTTAAATGATTGAATTAGGACATTAGCATCTAAAAAAGAATATTTTAGTGTCATTAAATTTATAAGTGACATTTTTGGTCGATTATTGAAAAGACAGAATAAATTAAATAGCCACACTGTCATAATACAATTGTACTTACATGCTATAAAGTTTTAAATACTTCAAAATTTAATCCCAACTAGATTGTTCGCCGCGATCCTCAAGTATTTTGAGAGTTAACCCATGAATAATATGCTAATGAATCAAAGGATATTATATCACTGTCCATTCATGCACTGGATTATGATTTTAATATAATCGACTTTTGTTCTCGACTTTTTTTTCGGAACGAATACGGCCATTATTTTGTATCGTGCATGTATTTAAACATACATTATACAAATCTGCCTATTGCAAGTCTTTATTTAGGCTTCAGATGTTATAGAAATTATTAATTAGACCTTTATTTACATGACAAGGTCAAAAACAAATCTGTAGACCCGCGGATGACTTGGATAAAGCTTGGATTTAAACAGTCGTTTATTTAAAATTAAATTAAGAAATGGCCGACCAAGCTAACGTTTACCGTTAGTCCCTGACGTCACCACCGGAAACTGGTTTTGAAAGCCCTACCACGTATAAAGTAAATGGACTAAAATTTTCAATATTTTCCTTTTTTATCATCTATTTTTGAATTATTATAGCAAGAATGGCCAACTCTTTATTAAACTCTTAACTAATGTATCTGTAATTTATTCTTTAAATTTCCAAGTAATTACAAGTGTCAGGAGTCGTGTGGATTTACAAAATGGCGAGAACTAGTATTTAATATTTATAGGTATTTTATCTTGAATGAAAGTACAGTGATTTTCAGTAACAAGTAAACAATATAAATCACTGTAAGAAATAATGTAATCGTCTCTTTAATTATTTAAAATGGTTAAAAGGAGATCAGATCGACAAAAGGAATCTCCAATAAAACTTACCCCTTTTGCACTTGTGAAATTCTCATACCAAGCCATAAACTGCCCTAAGATGACATGCTCGGGTATAATAGCATGGAATCGACTTCTACCTAAAGCATCTGCAGTGTTGCCAACTCTGACTCCGATCTCCGCTAAACAATCTCCCATCCGGACGTCCTCGGCGCCCCTGACAACGCAGTCATTGGCTTCAGGACCATCGACTACCAGACGTCGTAAAGCTTCTTTACTCAAAACATATCCAGCACCCCCACTATTATATCCTTTGTCGCTGTATTTGTGAAAATGTTGCCCGAAATAAACAGGGTTAGTGGCATTCTGATCCATCAAAAAGTATCTCAAATTTTCAACAATGACGAAAGTGTCGTCGTCTGCTTTTAAGAACCAGTCAGCATCGTAAAAGTGATTTTCGTAAACATAACGAAATGCCTTCATTGTCTTTTGCACCAAATATTTTCGACCTTCTGGAACACCTAAACCAATTGTGGGGAAAGTTTGATTGGGAACAGAACTGAAAAACAGAAGAACGTTACAACGTTTTCCCCACGTTGTTTTAACGTGTATTGTTTTATTTTCTAAATGTTTCGGTTGCGTTAAAACCCAACATAAAACACGAACTTTCTCTTCCAAAATCTTGGCTAAAGTGTCATCATCTGAAATTAGAAAAAAGAGACGTCTTAAAAGGGATCCCTTGACTGCTGACGAGCTAATTGCATTGCAGTAACCGTGGGAAAAGTTGCCTCCACAGAACATACAGTCCGCCTTCTCAAATTTACTATATATATTCAGCTCCATTCATTTTACATTGAAACCAGAAAATGTACAAAAAGAAGGAAGTTGTCTTAACTGTTACTGACAATAAATATTCGTCTTTTTACAATTGCTTTGTGTTGTTTTGACAGAGAGATTCGGCTATTTCAGCTCCATTCATTTTACATTTCTCACCAGAAAATGTACAAAAAGAAGGAAGTTGTCTTAACTGTTAATGACAATAAATATTCGTCTTTTTACAATTGCTTTGTGTTGTTTTGACAGAGAGATTCGGCTATAGGAAACATTTTAACCTATGTAATGGTGATATCTTTAAATGCTTTAGTTTAGATTTTAGTGGTAATAGAACACAATTTTATTCATGTACATTTACAAACATATTTTAATAATCAAACAAGACACGTTTCGATTACAAATAACGTGTTAACATTAGAACAAATAAACTCCCTCAAATCACATTAAATGCGGTTAGTGCAGTGTTAGTTTTATTTTAAAGGTAGATCAGATATGAATTGATTTAAAGATTACCTCAGAAAATACTTTTTGAGGTTTCTATTCGAAAAATAAAATTGTTAACGATAATAATATTGTGTTTTACAATACCTGTCTTTTTATTACCTACAGCCAATTCTTGATTATCAGATTTTCGTTTTGAAATAAAACCCATTTGTGGCAGGACGCCATTTAGATAATTCATGGATTGGTTGTCCGTTGAAAAGAATTCCAAAAGATATCCTGACATTCCAAACACAGAGAATAGACCAATAAGAATACCGTATACAAAATAGGCCTTTGGAGTATCAAACACAGAACGACGAGACATTTTGGTTGTGGTGCTTCTACTGGCCGTTTCTCAAGTCATTACCATATTCGGGGCCAATCACACAGAACAAATGTTTATGTTTTGATCTAGAGAAGTCCAATAATACACAAATCTCAGAAAGGAAAGCTCATCACTTGATTCATGTATTTTAGAAGTTCGTGGTATGAAATGTTTAGGTTAATGATATTAAAGTTGAGCTCTAGCTTTTATTTGAATCAATATGTTTTGATATGTATATAATATATTTATATACATCTGCAACAGGTTTCATCAAATAATCTATCGACTATTTCCATATTCATAGACAAGCTGTTAGTATGAAGTGTGTTATGGATTGAAATAATATATATATGTGTGTACAGGAAATCCTTTGATTAGCAATTTTAATTCAATTAGAATCCTGAACTTAACAAATTAGTACGCATAACGATATGCGCTAACTGTACAAAAGTATAAAGTTGTCTTTGGTTTTTGTTTTTAAAACAATACTTCTTTTTAAAATCCCTCTACAAAGAAAGTATGTGGTGCGTATTGAATACTAAATAACAGTTATGTTTCAAATCCACATAGCGTGTACAAAATTATATACAAACTTTCATATTTTTAAGTTTTTGATAATTTTTGTAAAGATGAGGTAAAGCGAGATCTGAAGATTGACAAACACTCAACGACGTTCAATTTAGAATGAATGGCACCTTTCCACAGCGAACTCCCTCAGTCTAAAATTTTGGTATTACAACCGAATGAGAATATTTGACAAACATTTACTGTTGAACGAATTTACCGTGGTAATCAGGAGCATTGATATGCTAGACAGGGTACTTTAAAGCCTACCATGGAAGAAATGTGCTATGTGGCAACAATATGAAGATCTTGTGACCGTTCTTGTTGTGATGATTTAGTTGATTATCAGAAGACTATTTCAAAAATAAAGACGGCATATAACGAAGGGTCTGTCGAGATGGATAGAACTGTTTTTTTTTTTTTGCAATATCATACCTCAATATACCCCAATCCTTGACAACCATTGATTGTGGAAATTCAATATCCCCCATATCCAATGGTAGTGATGTTTGATAACGTGTGTTTTTGGACCGAAAAGGATAACTTAAGTTTTATATGGGATTGGCTCATTAGACAGGAGGTCATTTTTCTCATGACTTTTCAGTCTGATTTCCCCAGGGCAGTCGGGAAGGGCAGGGGATCCGACAAGAAAAATGTGTAGTCGTTCGTATGGGACAAACACCCAAGGCCCCGTGTATACAAATGGCGACGTGTTAAAGTAGCAAATCAGAATAGAATAATTCTACAATGCTTAGTCCGGTCTTAACTGTTTGCTGACTGGAACTCAATAACCTAATGCCAAAGTTGGATGTCTCAGACATTTCTTTAAAACGCACTTTGATAAATTCTATCAAATTTCAAAGCGGACAATGTAAACACTAGCCTATTATCTGGTTTACATTACGTGCGATTGATATAACCAAAATAGGTCTACTTCCTCGGAAGAAAAGTAACGGGGGATATTTTTCTTATTCGTAATCTTTAATCCATATATCACGAATAACCTGGGTCTGAAATGGGGTTTGACTGACAGCTGTAAATCTTACCAAGCACGTCCTTTATATCCCTTTTCAGGTCACCTATCGCATTAGATGAGTAACGCCTGTGTATTGTATGGTTTAAAACCCCAGCAATGTTTAGATCATGTTTATTCTCTCTAAAAGACCGGACACTATTTGTTTAGTTGAGGTGGGGTGGGTTCACTTGAGTTGCATATTTTGTACTTGAATCAAATTGACGGCAGGTAATATTTTCCAACTTCAAACATATCAATGGAGTTTTTATAATATAATATTTAAAGGGACTATCCCGATTTGAACAGAGCCTCAAAAATAAAAGTCCGAATACGTATGAAATTTAAGCGCCAAAATATAGATGAATGGTGTATTTACCATGTCTCAAAATTTACCATGTCTCAAAATTTACCAAGTCTCAAAATATTGAGGCGTTTGAACGTGAAAGCCAAAACTCCTTATCCGGACACGTAACCCTTTTAAGATTTCGGGTCAGTGTTTTCGTTACGTGATCTGATAATCGATTCACGTTCCTTGAGAGGTCTATATAGTGAGACTGATGTGCAGATAACGAAAGGTAAATTTCACCTACACATTATTTTTATACCATAAAAGTCTGATACACCGGTCTCCATTTTCAGATGAAGACTGAGGGGTTTAAGTTGTTTGAAAACGTATCACAAATATTGAGTTAGTTGCTCGGCCCTTAGGTAGAGGATTTTAAGGGATTTTAACACAAAATTAAGCAGTTTTATTCTCCAAAAATTATCGGGATTGGCCCTTTAACTTTACATTAAGGGGGACTTGCACCTGAAAACTTATTGTGTAGCTTATTGATATAAAGGTTTCAGGACGCGCTATATCATTGAATAACAAACAGTTACTTTGTGCGGAAGGCTCCACGTTCACTATTCACTGAAATTTATTTGGTCATGTTTCCTATATCAAAATTCAGGAAGATATTATTTAATCCATTTACAATTGAACAAACCTTCATTATCAATGGGCAAAAAATGCATAAAAAGGCAAAACGGCAATAAAGACCGGTTACGCTTTAATTATACATTTCAGTGTACAACAACTTGTACAACAAAATTAATAATGATAATTTCAAGTAACTTAATTCTATTTCACCCTTTGATTGGATGCAAATTGGAATGATGTCCGGGACCTTCGTCCTCTCTACCAGTTCGCTACTCGACTCTTGCATACAAATATTGTCTATTTACCATGTCTGATAAATTTAACCAGCAAGATAGCCTTTACGTTATAGGAAAACCGATGTCGCTTGTTACTTGTAAATCTTGCTGTGTACATAAATGATAGTTGAATTCGAAATCCCAGAGTTATTACCCCGAGTTTTATTTTCCTGAAAGCATAACTTATACAGATTCGGGTGATTTCGCTGTCTCTGGTGTCGAAAGCGTCACTGAAATAAAGCATAATCAGGAAAACACAGTCCCTATTGTTCATCCAATTGATGATCGCATAAGCAGTCTTCGGTCTGTCACACTTCATCTTGGCAGATCCTTGAATCTGGAAGCTACAACCTTTTCTATGATTTTCGATTAAAACGGAAGATTGGAGACAGAGAGAGGAAGGATAGTTTGTAAATATGTTTGGGACTAGACTCGGCTTTTTAATAGAGTGACGTCACGAGATCAATTTTCAGTGATTAGCCTCCGTTCAGATTTCAAGGAGCTATTCACAGTTTTATTTAAGAAGGCATTATTCAGGGGGTAGAAGACGTTTTCTTTGATTTGGAAACACTATCAATTATTTCAAAGAATTGGTTAAGATTAAATATATAAGATTTTAGCCTGTTTTATTAATGGATTTTTAAGTTAGTTTTCCTGCATTGATTCTCAGCAGAAGTGTCGCCCGTTTTGAAATCAGTATCTTATTTATATTTAATTTTTTTTTTACAGGAACATGGTCCAGATGTAGTGTTCTCAAAGCAGAAGAGTAAAGTGATACTTGTCTTTGAATATCATGTGCATTTAAATCTGGGGTTTTAATTGACGACGGAATAACATGATTGGACAGATGTATGTCAACGTCTTTAGTTTTCCAAGAAAAACAATGTTACCCTTAACAGCCTTAGGCTTTTCCATTGGTAAGATTGCAAAAATGCTATAATGATCGGAGATTGAAAAATCGTCATTATGTTTGGTGACGAGTTTTTTCAAGCGCAATACCCTTCTACAATGCATTAATGTATTGTTAAAGGATATATGAAGTCAGAACTGGTTGGGTATGAATTCATTCGATTTATTTAAAGAAGCTAAATCGCTAATATTTGGGACCTAGAAATTGACAAAAATGGGTCGCAACGCATATAATACAGTAATATGAATGTATATAAACTCATTTACATTCAATCGTTTCCGTTTTTACTCTAATTTCAAAACGGTTATGTTCGGCGAAATACGCCAGAAGTCTCAATCGAATGGCAACCTCGAGTGTCTGGTTATTCTAGTCTACACCGATAGTATTTATTGCGAATGCTCTCCAAATAAGAATATGCCGTCATCGTTTGACATGTCTAGCCTCGTTCTTCTAGTCCCTTGTTACAAATGGCGCATTATGGTACACGAATGTTTATGTTGTCTTAAATATTGGATATCAGAAGCCCATCTTTTACCGGCAAGATCAAAACATCAATGTTGATTTAAATTGACAAATAATTCGTGTTTTCAATGTCGAAGACTGAATATGGGGTTAGAGACTTAGCTACTTTGAAAACGAGTTCAAATGACGCTTACAGAACAAAAACCTCGTCTTTCCTCATTTGATTCATTCATTACGAATTTTCAAGCTGAAAATAGATTAATGTGAAAAAAAAAGATAACATTCGCTAAAAAGGATGTGCACGAAATAAAATAAAATCCATAAAAATAATGAGTAGGCTACTGCATTATTTTATTATCAAAGGGATGCAATGTGCCACTTCTAATCATCCAGCGTGCCACCATGTTTGGGCGCGTGCGACAAAGGTTGGCCACCCCTGGTATATATAATAATCAGATGAACCATATCGCTATGCCATTTTACACAATTTATATCTGTACTACGACGGATTTGGTAATTTGGTCACCCCTTCGATTCACACGATTTGGAAGGACATATGTGTTCTCTTTATAGAAATCCTCTGTTGTTTTTAAATTAAGACCCATTACTATTTTGTAGTGTTAAAACGTTTAATTGTGTTTATCTGCTCTATTGTTTTATTATAAAACAAATGTGGGATTTTAACATGGGTTGTCAGAGGAGGCATTTTGCCATCTGATAACTCACTTCAGATAAATGAAGTCCTTTTAAAACTATCAATGAGGTAGAATCAAAATCTAGTCCGAAATATCTCAACTCTGTCACTGACGTTTTGCTGTTTCATGTACATTGTATTTTGATTTTGATGGATAACGGACCCCCCTCTATCACTGTCGGTAAACGAAACGTAAAAAAATAGTCAAAGATATATTTTCTTTTTGCTATAAATCATATGCCGCAAATGTGTCTTTTTATATGATCTTAATCGCAGACTGACACATCTTCCAGGAAGATGGGACAGCCCTGATAGATAAAATGGACATATATGAGTGTTATCTCATGACTGATACGGGTATATTGTATATTG